CGGCCTTGCGTTTGTTACCTGTTGGGGTTTCAGGGCAAAGATTCTACCAAGCTAACGAAGACGAACCTTTGGAGGAAGAAGCATCGGCCATTACGACGTCTTCATCTTCGTCATCGCTGCCACTTTCATCACTTGATGACTCGTTCGCTTTGGCAGCAGCTTTTTTAGGGTCCTTGGTGTCCTCATCTGAAGAGTCATCTTCGTCGGAGGATGAATCCTTCTTTGCTGAGGGTTTTTTGGCAGAAGTAGCTGCGGAAGACTTGGGTTGCGGTTCTTCGTCGCTCGACGAATCAGACGAATCTGAGGAAGCTTTCTTCGCGAGAACTTTCTTAGGCGCGGAAGCCTTTGGGGCGTCCTCCTCGTCGCTTGACGAGCTATCGTCGGAATCTGCCGATACAGGTTTCGCAGGTGCTTTCACCTGCGCTGCTTTTGGCTTTTCTTCCTCGTCTGAGCTCTCGCTCTCGCTGGATGAACTTGAAGCAGCCGGAGCAGGAGCTACACTTGGTTCATCTTCTGATGATGACTTATCACTATCAGACGATAATGGTTTTTTGCTCTACATGCTAGTTGAGAGGTGCGGAGCCCAAGGTGCTGGTAATCACGTACTTTGCCATTGGTTTTCACAGGAACCTTGGAGGGTTCATCCGAATCGGATGATTCGCTGTCTGAAGATACCTTCTTGACTTTTGGAGTAGTTTTTGATGCGGCCTGGAAGAAGTGAGGTGGTTAGCACAGAACTCGGTGGGGAGATAACGATATTTACCTTTGCGGCAGGCTTAGCAGGCTTCTCATCCTCCGAGGAAGATTCAGAGGACTCGTCACTGGATTCCTTTTTGCTGGCTTTGGCAGGTGCCTTACCTTTTGCCAGTTTCTAGGTAGTAGCTGGAAATTAGAAAATGCACTGAGAAAATGAAGAACCATTTACTGCAGCCTTCGCAAGGATCTCCTTGGATGAGGCGGGCACAGCGGGTTTGGCCTTGGCTGGAGGGTCGGCTGTCTTGACAGTACCCTTCTTGTCAGACGCTGCTTTCTTGTCTGCTTTCTTGTCTGATTTGGCCATTGCAGACTGTCGGGGTCGAACAAGAAAGATCCAGTTAATGGTGACAATATGCCCAAGGCAAATAATCATCGAAATTTTCGGCAGGTGATAACGCCACGTGACTTCTATTAAGGGCAGGCTAGCTGTGACCGGACGAGCCGCGGCACTTGCGTTGTCCTTCCTTGACTGCAGTACTTCAGCACACCCTGTCAATATCATGGAGAACGAGTTCGATGTTATCGTGCTAGGAACTGGTCTCTCAGAGTCAATCTCCGCCGCGTGAGCGTCCTGCCTGCCAACATGATCACTAGTATGCTTAACTCTCACCACTTATGATCAGTGCCCTTGCAAGGGCTGGCCTGAAAGTAGCTCATATTGACCCTAACGCATATTATGGTGCAGATGAAGCGACGCTGACGCTGGACGAACTATGCCAGTGGGCCGACACCCACACCTCATCAAATTTCACTCTGGAGCGTGAATCTCAAAGCATCCAATATCAAGTCCAGTATCGATCTCCCGACATCTTGCCACATTCTAAGCAGTACTCGTTATCATTATCACCTTCTGTCATACCTTCTGTCGGCCCTTTCATATCCTCCCTTGTATCTTCGGGTGTTGCGCGTTATGGGTCTTTCAAACTCCTTGGTCCGGTCTCTCTATATCATGACGGCCAGTTCACAAGTGTTCCTCAGAACAAGGAGAGCATCTTCCAGGACCGCACTATCCCGTTGATCGAGAAACGGCGCCTCATGCGCTTTCTGATGTTCGCCTCTGGGGACTTCGAAAACAGCCCTGAGCTGCAGGGTAAAGAGAACATTCCGTTTGACGAATTTCTCCGACAGTCTTTCTCTCTGGGCGAGAACATCGCCCAAGTTGTCATATTTGCCCTAGCTTATTGTAATTTCTCCGGAGGTCAGTGAATATTTGGGTAGCATTCATATTAGGCTACTCATGTCGTTTGTAGAGTCAACGCTGATGGCTCTGCATCGCGTTCGTAGCTGTCTTAGGTCGACTGGGCGATATGGCTCGTCGCCCTTCCTTGTCGGTTACTACGGAGGATCAGGGGAGATCGCTCAGGGATTCTGTCGGTCTGCAGCGGTAAACGGCGGTGTTTACATTCTTGGTCGGAGGATCTCGAACATCGTCATCAATGAGCCGTTGTCTCCAGGAGATCACGACCAAGAGTCTTCATATCGCTACAGTGTTGAGCTCGACGACTTTCCTGATCCACTGCGATCGTCATGTCTGTTATCATCTCCATCTCACGTACCCGACTACTTACGGCTCCATGCCACGCGCATCCCTACCAGCGACAACTGCTCGCCATCCGCAAGCCATCATCGAGTACTCGCCATGGCCCGATGTATTGTCATAGTGGATGGTGCTGTTTCACCGCCTCGCTTGAATGGAAGCGACGACGTGCCACACAGCGAGGGAGAGTCCGATTCACTTCTTGTCGTATTCCCTCCTGGATCGCTCAATCAAGGCTCCATGATATCGTCCGTCCACGTCTTGACAGCAGGTCCCGGTACAATGTCTGCGCCCACAGGAAAAAGTATGATCTTGCGCATCACGAAAATTGTTCCGTCGGCTCACTCCCCAATCATTAGGCATTGTGCATCTCTCTATGCCGTTGTACGAGCGTGGCGGGTCCTCCAAGGATCTTCTTGATCCTTACCTGGCGGCCATGCTTTCTACTTCATCACCCTCCGCCAAACCCTTGTTCCAGCTGTTCTACATGCAGTATTTTCCGTCGACCGACGGTGGTGGACGCGCAGGTGTTACGTCTGATTTTTGTGTTTCACCAGCATTGCAGCCAGATATCCCTCAATCTGCGGATCATGCAGCACAGCACGCCGAGAGATCTTTTTGGCATGTTATGCAATCTGTAAGACCAGGTCTATCCTTGGAGAAAGAACAAGGAATCTGGACAAATGTCGATATAGGCAACATCAATGATGAAGATCCCGAATGGTAAGAACGGAGTTGCAATCCTATCGCCTGTATTCGCGGAGTATATACACAAAATCAAAAGCATGGCAAGCAGAACTCGAGAACAGTTCCTTACAAGGTGTAACCCATGGTCGAAAAATAGTGGGCTTCCTCTGAGATACATAAATATTCCATAAAAACTCTCTGGCGGGGAGTCGAACCCCGCTCTCCCGCGTTATTGGAATGACTAATGACAGGCGGGTGTACTATCCGATATACTACCAGAGATGTTGGAAAAACTGTTATCTTCAATTATTATTGTGCTTTTTAAGAATAATGATGGGTGGTGAAATAAATAAATAAAAACAATACATAAGTGGCACAGCTAGCACAATAGAGTCTCCAATATTACAGCAGTTTGCATATTGATGTAGAGGGCATAATTAGAGCATGTCGGAGTTGAGTTTGAATAGTTCCAAAATAGGCAAAGAGTGGCGCGAGTGTTTGTCATTATCACAGTGCTGCCACCCGGCATCAGCCCCATACTGAACTCAGCAGCCTCAGCTCCGACACACTCAAATTTTGCCCGCCACATCAATATGCAAACTGCTGTAAGAACCAAACATATATCACATGTTGAGTATGAGTAAAAGGTGGATATGTGCAATATAATGTCAACTAGAATAATAATAAATTAGGACTTAAGCTTAACTTAGAGATTGCTTTGATGAGGGAAAAGAAGCAAGGCACAATTTAATTGATCTGGTGATCCACATGGCTATCTAAGTATACATCTACAAACCTATGTTAGAAATTCCTAAATCATAATTCAATATATTGTAAGCCATTGAAATACCAAAATAAAACTACATGTTTACAATAATATCATAATAAAAAAGGTTTGATTGCAATGGGCATTCCAATGGCTAACACAATCACAATTGCCATGACCATTCTGAGACGGCCGGCAGGAATTTGATCTATTGTAATGGTAAAATTCACCTCCTGGGACTATTGTAATAACTTTGTGATAGTATTGCAAAATTTTTATTTTATTGCTTGTATCTACAACTGTGATTATAGTACTTTTACTACTGGTAGTAATGAAAGACCAGTGTCAAAGGTGGCAACTCAACCCCAGTGAAAACCCGCAATCTGCTGTAGTATGTGAGATGTCGGGAGAAATTGAGACTTAGGGCTGGTATTGGGTGGTATTGGCCATCGTGTCTCCATATCCTACATAACAAACTGTACCTTGTTTTATTCTTATGAAACATGTGTTAGCTGACTGCAAACACACTCATCTGCCTCTTGCCAGTGTGACGCTGTTCTGCTAATAGGTTATGCATGCAGAAGACATAGCATAGATGACGAATCTTGTTGTTGTCTGCATTGTGTCCTTTGCGTGCCCCTATCCCTTCCATCCATTTTGAGATCAGTTCACCCCAGTGACATACATGTCCCATCTGACTGTTTGAGTAAATCAACTCTCCGACCTTGCGAACTATCGATTTCACGATGCCCAAAGCAAACACTATCTACACTTGCGACTACAAGAAACACGACTACACACCCACACAAATCAGCAAAGCGACATATTTTCGACATAAGAAGATGCGAGATGAACCTGGGGCCATCATGACAAGATTAATACGACAATTGGAAGCCCATGGAGAGGATGGTGATGAAGAAGAGGAAGAGGAGGAGGAGGAGCCTACAGACGAGAGTGATACCCCACAACCCAAAAACCTGACTGGCAATCATTATGCCAGTGCGAACGAGTCCCCTCAGTGAACGACTAATTCGTGTGCAGCCTCCATTGAAGACTTCCCTGACGAGGATGATCCAGACAGCTCGCACTTTCATCAGGTGACCTCCCTGTTATCTCTTTTATCTCGTCACTACTAACTACTGCCTCTAATTTCAATAATCAGAACAAAGGTCTCCAAGAGTGGATCCATGCACCATAACCCCCTCAGTGAACGACTAATTCATGTGCAGCCTCCATCAAAGACTTCCCTGACGAGGACGATCCATTTCCGTTTCAAGGTATGGATCCCCCTTTGGTAAGGCCTTTTATTCCTTCACTCTGAGCAGTTTTAGAATGATAAGGCTAAATGACATGCACAGCAATGCACTCCTACACCAGAACAGGTACCAAATGAGGGGGAACCCACTAACAACAGCAGAGATCGCGCAATACCTCTGATGCCACCCCCTATTGACGCCAACAAAGAGACCCTTGTCAACACTATCTATGAACACTGCAGCCTTGATGATCTCAGGGTTTCAATGATGTTCATTGCAGCACTTTCATCAGCCTCCCTTGAAGGACCTCATTCACAGCTAGACACAGACACCCTCAAACGCCTCTGCAATCCTCCCGAGTACGGACTCTCTCTCAATGACCAAGAAAATGTCGAAACTGCAGTCAAGCTATACCTCAAATTATCGCATGCACAAGCTGATTATGATGGCGTGTGTGAGATCCTTCTATCAAGGAAAGGCTTCGGGAACCTCCCCACCCATCACCAGGCAAAACAAGCAGTTAAAAGCCTCAGTGGAGTCACTGGCATCATGAATGACATGTGTGTCAATTCTTGTGTCACATTTACTGGGCCATTTGCAGATCATACACATTATTCCCACTGCAGAGAGCCCCGTTACGACCAAAACATCCTTCAGAAGACCAAAGGCAAGAAGAAAGTCCCTCAACAGCAGTATCTGACCATTCCCCTCAGCCCTCAATTGCAGGCTGCTTACTGAGACCCAAAAAGTGCCAAGGCAATGCGATATCGAGAAGAACACACTCAGGAGGTTTTTGATCATCTCGCAAGCAATGGCAGGGTCATACCCACCTACACTGACTTCTTTAATGGGTCAGATTATCTCAATGCAGTTTGAGATGGGAAGATCAAGGAGCACAATATCGTTCTGGTGTTTTCCATCAATGGAGCTCAGCTATACAGGTTCAAAGTCTCCGACTGCTGGATTGCTATTTGGATAATATTCGATTGCTCCCCAGATTCGCGCTACAAGAAGAAACATGTCCTACCTGTGTGCGTTATCCCAGGACCTAAAAAACCACACAATCTCGACTCCTTCTTGTTCCCTGGCTTTCATCACCTCGCCACACTTCAGAAGGAGGGCCTCAAGATATGGGATGCTTCGCAGGATGTTACTTTCACGTCATATCCCTTTTTTGCTCTGGGGACTGCAGATGGACCAGGCCTTGTCTATCTCAATGGACTTGTTGGTCACCATGGCAAAAATGGATGCCGACTTTACTGTGGACTCAAGGGGCGACATAAGGAGAAGGTTGGTATTTATTACCCCTGTTTATTGAAGCCCAATAACTACCATGTTGAGGGTTGTGATCACGACAACGTCAATGCTGAGGACATACAACCTGCCTCTCCTGAGTTGTACTTACAAAATCTAAAGTACCTCCTCCAGTCCAAGAATGAGGCCAAATATAAGGAACATCATCTAGAAACAGGTATATCCAAACCGACAATATTCCTTGGTTTCCTGCCTGACTGAATCCTCGGGATACCCACTTGTTTTGGCTCCGATATCATGCACCTCCTATCCCTGAATCTGCCTAATCTTCTCATCAACCTCTGGCGTGGCACATTTAGCTGTGATGCAGACGACAACAAGTGCACATGGTGGTGGGCCATATTGGTTGGTGACCTTTGGAAGAGTCTTGGCAAGGTAGTAGCAGACACATGACCCCATCTCCCTGGGTCATATGATTGTCCCCCTCGCAACATCACCGAAAAGATCAACTCTGGTTATAAAGCCTGGGAGTTCTGGCTTTTCTTATATGGTATTGGTCCTGCAGTCCTGTATGGTTGACTCCCTGATAGGATCTGGGAACACTACTGCAAGCTGGTACAAGCCATACGGATCATCTCTCAAAAGAACATCACACATGAAGAACTCAAATACACCGACAGACTCTTTCTTGAGTGGGGCATGGAGTTCAAGACTATCTACTGTGAGCGCAAGGCCATGCGGATCCACTTTGTGTGGCAAAGTGTCCATGCTCTCCGACACTATGGTAACGAGGTGGTCACGAAAGGCCCTCTCATCTGTGCCTCACAGTGGATGATGGAACACACGATTGGTAACTTGACAGAAGAAATTCGCCAGCCCTCAAACCCATACGCTAACCTTGGCCAGCATGCCCAAGTCAATGCGCTCAAGACCATGCTCCCTTCTCTTGACCCCGCTGATGATGAAGAAGTTTTGCTGCAAACCACAAAGGATATGGGGGACAGATATGCGCTACTCAAATTTCAAGATTGCACTTCTCGCCCAACAACTGTTCACGAAGGTTGGGTCATACATGATTATATTGAGCACCATCATCTCAATTCACCAATCCTCAACTTTTTCTCACCTGACGGCACTATCAGAGTTGTTTGTTGGGCTCGTATCAGGCTTCCCAATGGCCAAATTGGCCGTTGTAAGTGGAGACTCGCAAGCCTGCTTGAAAAGCTCAGAACGATCAAGTGTGTTCCTTTTTTATTTATTTTAAAAATCCATAAAATAACATAGAGGCTGTAGATCACCTTGAATGGAAGGAAGCAATTTGCTGAGGTGTGATACTACTTTGAGTACCAGCTTGACAACACTGGCACTACACAATCCCTTGCGATACTATCACTTTACTCCCTTCCTGATCCCTATCTCCTTGAACACTCTGCACAAACATACATGTCTTGTTTATCCCTGGGCGATGCTGGTGTCATTGTGGTCAACATCAAGTCCATTGAGAGTGTGATTGCGATGATTCCAGAGGTTTGTTTTGGTGAGGATTGCTTTTATATGGCACCGAGACCAGGTGCAGATGTTGCCTACCTTGGGGGATATGTTGAGAGGAAGTAGGGAAGTGAGGACAGCAACTAATCTTTGTTTTTCTTCACTTTTTCACTTTTATACATGTTACTTGTGACGTGCATCATCTCGTGCCAGTGATACTACAAATACAATACTGTACACTAAAAACTGCTTGAGTCCTTCAGGTGGAGGTTCCCTGAGCATCAGAAACAGCAGCTGCAAATGCTGCATCAGCTGGCAGAGTGCGATAGGTGATAACGGGATGCTGGGTCGGGGAGGTGTTAGGCACAACCTTTCCATTGGAGTCCAGTATACTGGGGTGAACATGAACTTTGAGGATCTTGACTGGTTTAGCAGGGTAAAGGGGCTTCTTATTGGTGGATCTGCTACATCTGATTGTTTTTTAGACTTAATCCAATCACGGGTGTCAGATTGACTTA